GGAGGTGGTGTGGAGGCCGGCCGCCGCGTGTCCGAGGAACCCAGACTGGCTGTATCGTGGCTACGACCCTGCCACCATGATGTGTGTGGGGGACCCAGCCCGGTTTTATGACTCTGCAAAGGCACCTCCCCATCTCTCCTCAACACCCCTGATTGACAAAGCTGTTGGCGCTGGTCAGCGCTAGGAGCAGCGAGCGCCCATCAGGCCCTGCTTCACCAGGCGCTGTACACGTCACTGGGGACAGATGTGTTGGAGGAAGACAGAGAGCATCTGCACAGAGGGGGGTGGGATAGTGAGTCCAATGGGCCATGGGCGAGGCGGGGGAAGCAGGAAATGAGCCGTTTTCCATCTGTGGCTTGTTCCGTTTTGCAGGGCGACTCCGGGGGCCCCCTGGTGTGTGGAGAGAAAGCCTGGGGCATCGTCTCCTGGGGGTATTGCAAAGCACCCGGGGTCTACACGAAAATCTCCGCCTTCGTCCCCTGGATAAACAACACCATGAGGAGGCTGCAGGCTGGAGCCGGGCCGTGAATCGCTGCCCAGGCTTCTGTGCTTGGGAGGGCTCCGAATATAGATGGGAGTGAGTTTGCCCCCCATAGCAGAGGCCCCCTTCCCACAGTTTTTGCTTCACTCCGGCAGTTCCCAAACCCATGAGCATCTAGGCAGGAACCCAGGGGAGTTAGGAACTCACTGCAAGCCCGTCTCCCAACCCTTCGGCTGTTTCATCCCAGGACCATGTCCAGTCGGATACTGGGCATGAGCCCAGCCCTGGGGCAGGGGTGGGGCAGAGCTGGCGGTTTGGGGTCTGCCCCGTGTCAGCCGGGCGGGTGATGTTTATGGCAGATCCTCACCATCCCCTGCCCTGCTGGGACACTTGGATCCTGCCACCAGCTCTCTGTTCACGGTTCGTTCCCGGGGGCCCAGCGCCCGTCCCACACCCCCTAGCGCCGGCCAGGCCAGCTGGCAGGAATCAGGGCCAGCCCGACCCCAGCCCTGCTGCGTTTCACGCCCTGCTTCGTAGGCAGCACAGAATAAAAATGAAGTGACAAAAAATTGTCTTTTGGACAGAGTGCTCCACCCAAGCCGTGAAATCCAGAGCCGCCATTGCCTGTGTCAGAACTGGGGTGAGGAAGTGGGGCAGGATCTCACCCCTCCGGGGAAAGGCTGGATTTGTAGTTCATGCCCTAGGCTGGGACAAAGACACCTGAGTTGGGAGGTTTCACACCGAATGAGGCTCCGGCGGGTTCCAGTGGGGAATTAACCCCCGAGGGCCAGAGGGACAGAGATCCAAGGGGAACACCAAGGAGAAAAACAGCCCTCAGCTCTCCGCACTCCCGTGTTTCAGCACCGGGGCCAAAGTGGGGCCAGTCTAGCCACAAACCTTCGATCCGCCGCTTCCCATCACTGGCCATGTGGCCGTCAGCGTTCCCTCACTCTGGGCACCTGGGCAGCCACGCCGGAGCCGTCCAAATGTCTCCCCACTGTTGAGCAGGGCGCCTACAGCTCGGTTTCATTCCTCCTCTTGGTTCCACCTTGCAGGTTGTGAGGAAGTGGGGCGTTTTGGGAGTTCAGGGGGGGTGTTGCATACAGAGCGGCGCTCAGTGCCTGGACGTGACTGGTTTAATGTGACAAAGGGGGGGAGTTCGTTGTGTCAGAACAGCCCCGAGTGGGAGCCAGGCTGTCTGCAGGAAGTGGGGCGCTTTGGGAGTTCAAGGGGGATGTTGCATACAGAGCGGCGCTCAGTGCCTGGACGTGACTGGTTTAATGTGACAAAGGGGGGGGAGTTCGTTGTGTCAGAACAGCCCCGAGTGGGAGCCAGGCTGTCTGGGACCCTGGTGACCCCGACCCTGCTCAGACGACAGACAAGGGGCTGCAGAGGGGGACCCCAGCGATTGGCCCAGCTGGTCCCAGCAAGGGGAGAACATTGGACGGGGAGGGAGGCAGAGAAGAGGGACCCAGGCGACCCTCTTACCTGGGGAGAAGACAATGGACTGAGGGACTGTTGCTGGGGATATTGGAGGCTTTGCTGGGAGATGGGGGCTGTTTTGGGGGGACTGAGAGCAGAGCAGGCAGGACTCAGCTGGCGGCAGGGGAGGCTGATGTGTAGGCTGAGGCCCAGGCCGACGGGCCTGATGGATCCTTCGCTGTTCAAAGCTCAATAGACCCTCCTGCTTGGTGCTCCCTGGGAGTCGCTCTGGTCTAGAGGACGGGGGGGCACTATTCCTTCAGGAGAGGAGGCCCTGGGGATCCAGAGGGAGGGTACCCCCCCAAGGGGGCTCACGGCAGAGGCAGACAGTTGGAGGCCCTGAGAGGCACCGTCCCGGAGGCGAAGGGGCAGACTCCCCAAGGTGAGAGCGGGCCCCCCAAGAGAGGGTCGTCACACTGGAGTGGACCCCCTGAGAAAGGGCCGTCTCACTGCCGCTGGAGAGGAGGGGCTCCCCAAGTAGGGGCTGCTGCACGGGACAGGGGGGTTCCACCCTGGAGCCGAGGGGCCAAGTGCAGGCACGACCTGTAAGCCGTGACACGGGTACAGACCCCCTGCCCCATTCCCCACCCTGTTGCCAGCTAAAGAAGCTGTTGGAGCCCCATGGGCCCCGTGGCCCCCACAGTCCAGCACATGGAGAAGCTGGAGGAGCCGCGGAGCTGTGTGACTCCAGAGATCTCCCATGAGGCCGCCCGCAAAGGAAGGGGACGGGACTTTGTCGGGTAGGACAGTTGTATTGTGTTGTGACTCCGGAGGCTGCAGGGGGATGGCTCTCGGCTTCGCCGCTACACCAGAGATTGAACTGGGATGGCGGGGGAGACTTCCGGAGCTAAAGATCTGAGCTCCTCTGCAGTCCCCTGTGGTACACCCCCACCCGTCATTCAACACCTCATTTGGCACAGCCTTTGGCACATGCCTCCTAGGAATGTGAACGTCTCCTTCCCTCCACACGGGCGCCTTTCTCAACCAGCCGTGGAACGTTCTCACACGCGGATGCCCTGATTTCCACGGACCCGTTGAACCCCAGGGTACTCACAGACCTCGGGAGTCACCGAGTCCAGCCCCCAGCCCAAGGCAGGACCAACCCAACTCAAGCATCCCAGCCAGGGCTTGGTCAAGCCGGGACTTACACACCTCTAGGGATGGAGATCTGGGGCCTTGGGGCAAAACGGGCCCCTGTGATACCCCCCCACCCGTCATTCAACACCTCATTTGGCACATGCCTCCTAGGAATCTGAACGTCTCCTTCCCTCCACATGGGCGCCTTTCTCAACCAGCCCTGGAATGTTCTCACACGCGGATGCCCTGATTTCCACGGACCCGTTGAACCCCAGGGTGCTCACAGACCTCGGGAGTCACCGAGTCCAGCCCCCTGCCCAAGGCAGGACCAACCCAACTCAAGCATCCCAGCCAGGGCTTGGTCAAGCCGGGACTTACACATCTCTAGGGATGGAGATTCCACCCCCTCCCTAGGGAACCCACTGGTGTCCATGATATAGCCTCTCCCTTAGCCTCTTGATTGACTCTGTCCTGCCTACGCTATCCCATGGCAACGCCTGGGCACTGCTCTTGGACTCGCCCAGTCTGACTGATGAGGGATGGGACCCTTCCATCCATCCCCATGAAGACCCACCGTTGGCCATTGAGAGCCATTCTCGAACTGTTCACGGTCCATGACTGGACAGAACAGAGGCACAGCTATGTTACTGGATCCATGCCAGCTGATTTATGATTCCTCAGCATCAAACAATTCCCGTCAAGATAAGTCCACTTCTGGAGATACCACGTGGACCTGTTCTAGATGCATGGCCGTCCATTCTAGACCCCTCTAGAATGACACCATTCATTTCTAGACCCATCTCCCCTCCCTACTGCTGCTGGACACTCCCCCCCCTCCCACTAGCTCTACCCTGCAGGTTGCTGCAGTAGGGGGTGATGAAATGATCTCCAGGGTCACTAGGGACATGGGTGGGAGAGTCCAGGACTGGCCAGTGGCAGATGTGGGAAGGAGGAAGGGATGGACCATTGATGCTTCCTCTTCCACCCATGTGAATCCCTCCAGAGGCAAGGCACCTCCAGTGACAGGGAGGGGGCTGGGGATCTCAGGGCAGCCTGAAGGGGGGCAACCCAGCCCCCACATGCTCCTGTGGGACCCCGCAAGCTGGGACCCAAGAAATCTGGGACCTTTCCCCAGCTCAGCCTGGGTTTCCTGTGGATCTCGTGGGGGAATACCTGGGTTGGGGAGTTGCATGGGGACCCGATGGGAGCTGAGGAGGCCAGCCCCTGAAGCAGGTTGAGGAACAGTCACCCCGTGCCTCAGTTTCCCCATCTGCACGTTGAGAAGGAAGATTCTGTCCATGTCTGTTAGAACTGGATGCCATTTGGGGGGCAGATTGTGGGTCAGGGTAGTGCCCGGCACCATGGGGGGCTCTCAGCCATGGGGCCGCCCCATTGCAAATGAGAGCAGTGTGCTAAGGTGCAAAGGGGACCCTGCGGAAGCTGGTGGCTCTGGATGACAGCCTGCAGAAGAGCTGGGGGTTGTTTTTAGCACCTTGCAGGTTGCAGGGCTGAGCTGTGTTAGCCACATTCCCTGCCGGGCCTGGCATGCAAACATCAAGTCCCCACCCCCCGTCGTGCAGGTGTGACCAGAGGCTTCCCCATGGGCTGTCTCTGCTCCTGGCCCTGGGGGGGGGCGGGGGGGAAGGAGTGGTGCCCCCAGTCATGACCTCCTCCACATGGTACAACCAGCTTGAGCCCTGGCAGAGCTGGAAGAGGCTCCAGACAAAGTGCATCTGGTGACATTTGATTGTCACACCCGGCACAGGGCAGAAAGCCAAATGCACCCGTCCCCGCCCAGCCGGGCACAGGGACCCGGCGTGGGAGGTGAGCACAGGGGATGATCTCCAGACACCTCAGCATCTAGCCAGGAAATGGGGTTGGTGCGTCCGGCCCTAGTGGGAGGGAAACTCGCACCCAGCTGAGCAGCCTGGTCTCCAGTGATGAGTTTGTCAGTTCTTAGCCAGCGCCAGCGGCCGGGACCTGCCAGGGACCCACCTCCTCTTCCACCCCCAGCTGGCCAGGGAGCGCGGAGAGATTCCCCTCCGGGAATGGGCCGGCCCCGAGCCAAGAGATTCCTTGGGTGGTAATTCCAGGTAGAGACGCTGTAGAGACGTTCTCCCTGAACCAGCTCCTGCACTCGCATCTCACAAGGAGCATGTGGCTTAAGGAGATCTCAGCTTCCAATGGAGCCCTCCCACCCCCATCCGGCAGGGCTGAACCCCAGGGCAGCGGGGCCTTGGGTGCGGTGAGGGGCCGGCCCCGAGCCAAGAGATTCCTTGGGTGGTAATTCCAGGTAGAGACGCTGTAGAGACGTTCTCCCTGAACCAGCTCCTGCACTCGCATCTCACAAGGAGCATGTGGCTTAAGGAGATCTCAGCTTCCAATGGAGCCCTCCCACCCCCATCCGGCAGGGCTGAACCCCAGGGCAGCGGGGCCTTGGGTGCGGTGAGCTTGTCGGGGCTGAGACTGGAGGGGCTCAAGAAGCACAGGGAGTATCTCGCCATTTGGCACAAATTATTCCTGGCGCTGGGAGGGCAGCAGGAGTGGTTCCTAGTGGTTAAAGCAGGATGGTGTCTGGGAGCCAGAATTCCTGGGCTCTCTCCTCAGTTCTGGGAAGGGAGTGGGGACT